GAATTTTAGAAAAATGCGAAGAGCCTAACCTAGAACAGAAGTATTCACCATAAAACTATAAAAGTCGTAAATTCGACAAAATATTTGACAGTGAAGGGAAACTTAATTGACACCAGATTCCACGAATTGTATTCTTGATAGTCGTAAAATTTCGATTTAAAATCGTGCAGTCGCTTTTAGCATCGTGTTCCGAATACGTAACTCTTATGAGCTCTTCATGGAGCACCTTGAGAATGCTCGACAAATTCTGACCTACTGTTGGCTGACCTAATGATAATAAGGCATTCGCGGAATTTTCACTTTCCTGCTAAATTTTTTGTTGTAATCAAATTGCGAAAACGGTTGCGAATGAGACGGTGGAGAAATAACTGATAATAATCATAACTAACGCAATAAACAGTGTTCAAGGTCGGGTGCAGGTACTCCTTTTCTCCATTTTTAGGTAATCAAGTTTAAAAATTTCGAGGTTCACTTTCTACATTTTCAAATTTTTCAGTTTTTACATTTTTAGATTCCCAAATTTTCGTCTGGCCCAGTTTGCAAATATATAAATCCCGAATTTGTAAATTTGGACGTTTAAAAATTTGTAAGTGTCTCAACGTCTCAAAATTATAATAATTCGAAAAGAAAAGCAAAATGGTTTCTATTTGAAAAAATAGAAAATGGTTTCATTTTTGTAAAAATTGAAGATCATTGAAATCCTCCCTCTTGCAATTTCTTCGTAAGAATTTAAATTTGTAAAAAAAGCTGATGTGATTGAAGAAAGACAAAAAATAAAGAACTCAACAAAGATGTGTTTCGTCGATGTATCTTTAAGAGGTGTATCACTTTTTCCTCTGTTACGCCTCTAATAAAGGACCATCCGCCCTTAATGCAATTAGTGTGTAATACACTATCATTATCGTCTTATCATTCGAGGATAATCAAACGTAGGTATGATTATCAGTTATGCCACGTAAACCATAGGCAAACTCCCAGTTATGCACCTTGATCGATCGTATCTGATATCTAATACCGCACGACGTATGTAGTTATTCCATGCCCAATTAACTTTGGGGAAAGATTCCAAACGCAACAAGTTCGTTTTGTTCGCCGATGAAGTCTGCGAATCGATTCGGCACATTTCGACACCATATCTTCTCGATCACCATACCTTATATTTATTGCAATATCCTTACTAAGTAATAGTAAATGATTTTCTCTAAATATCCTTTCCAACAATAAATGACGCTAAATGTCCTTATTAACAATAAATGCTTTGCTCTAAATTTACAATAAACTTGCAAAGTGCAAATATTTTCAAATAATAATTAAAAGAATTAATGACTTGAAAAAATATCTAATTACAACTCCCAAAGGATTTGACAAGAAAAATACTTAGGACCTGACTCACAGTTCAACATTTATACCCCGTACAAAAATACGTCTCCATGTGTGTACCTTTGTACACACATTCTCTCTTTGAGAAGTTGAAGAACTTTTGTGGGTATTTGCCTATGATTCAGTACATAATAAAAATCAAGATAAAAATCCCGATATAAGCGCCCCTCTCTATTCACTTTCATGCTATGTGTATTTTCTCCTGATCGTCCCGAAGAACGGTTGTAGAGGTCATTTCCCTGAAAGCCGTCCTTCCGGGACTGGCAGACGTGTGTGAAGAAGGTTGTGTGTATCTTCCAGATAGCAGCGTCTCCCTACGCGAGCCTTGGAACGATGAAACATCGGGGCAACACCACGAAGCCTCTGCCCTTGGCTTTCGCCAATCCAGAATAGATAAGGCAGATTATCACAAGGGATTCCTGTTTGCCCGCCATTCTCCCTATCAATGTTTATAACGGGACACGAACCAATAATATACCGCAGGCTTTTTCGTTTTCCTTGCATTTATCCTCTGTTCTTCCTCGAATCGACTTTCATTGGAGATGATATTCCAGGTGAAGTTTCCTTAAAAATTTGTTTCAGGAAAATTCTTATGAATTTATTTAATCTGTTATAAATAAGGAAAGATTATACAAGAAATGTTGCAGGAAAGAATTGTTAATGAGGGATAAAAATTTGTAAGTCTACAATGGAGAATCTTAACGCCTTAAAGAAAATTTAATTTGTATTGACAGCAATTTATGTAATCGAATGAAAAGATTGATTTGAAAAATGAATCAGTCGCATGCTGAGTAATGGCAATTATACCAAGTCTCATGTTATGCCGCTGCCATTTTTGCAGTGGCGAACGAGGTATTAAACCTGGCGTATTTTTTATCGATAAATCATATAGATTTATAGTAAAATTACACTAGTAACCTTTGAAGTTCGAACACGCGTGGCAGCTCATTTGTTTGTGAAAGAAAAAAATACAAAAAAGTCGATTACCATTGCTAAGAACGTAAAATGAAACTGCAGGAATCAACAAACTCGTTATACGTCTCATTCATAGTTCATACGATGACGCCAAACAGTATCCATCAAATAGATCACGCCAGAAGGCACACGTGACACGCGAGAAGAAGCAGCGGTGTAGAATCAAGGTAGTTTCTCGATTTTTCATTTAATATTACTACTACAACAACGCAAGGCCACGGTTAATAGGATTATTATCGTCTTCGAATATGATGCATAGATCAAAGAGCGTGTAACAGAGTGCGTCCCTGAGGATTCTATTACACATATAGTAGTTCTGTAGTCAAGTATCGCCTCTCCGGCAGGCTTTCTCATACCGAACAGTATTAATGTCCATCCACACGCACTTTCTACGTTTTGATGGGACCCCTTTGGTTAGGAATTATAGGGGCACTTACTTTCAATTTTAGGAACTCAAAAATGTAAACTTAAAAATTTGCAAATTTGCAAATTTTCTAATTATTCAAATTTTGTAATTTTCAAACTCCCAAATTAGTGAGTTCATAAATTTTCAAATTCCTGAATCACAAGTTCTCAAACTCGTAAAGCCAAAACTTTCGAATTTCTAAACTCGCCCCGAAACTTTCAAGTTTGATCATTTCTAAATATAATCCTATAATTGATTATGCTCCGATAAATTAAAAAATTAACCACCTAAATATGTCCAAGTATATTCTTATTTGTATGTCCCTTTTCCTAAAAAAGAAGTTTTAGGTCTGAAGAGCGTAAACAAGATGCATTATTCCACAATTACCATGTGTCTCAGTATGGTGAGTTGACAGGGAAGTTAAAACATGAAGTATCGAATCCATCAGCGGAAGAACCCGTTATAAGTGACGGACGTAACTCGAGTGAGAGCGTTTGTAAATGGTGTTCGAGTGTGGACTCGGCTTAAATTGTCTCAGAGCGTCGTTCTCTCCCCTCTGGTCCCGAAAGGATCCCCCACTCTGATGTTCGTTGTCCATCCCTTTGGTGGGTTGGCAGTGCGCGTTCGATACACGGAATCGCCTCGTGGTTCTCGGAAGGCAGTAGACTGTCGTCAGCCACGCCAGACGGCGCACTGCTCGCACGCTCACTGCTCGAAGATACTCGCCCACTGGCTCACCCACGGCTGCTGGTTTACCTCTCGTTTCTTCTCCTCTCTCTCTCTTCATCTGCTGGCAGCAGCA